TAAATATAAGAATGTATAGACAGAAAGATAAGTTTATAGATGTTGCTAGAATATAGAAACATACGTAAACATCAAGTTTATATGTTTAAACATGAAACCGTATATATTGTTGAGGCATTCCTCAATTTACACCAACCACGATTGTTATCGCACAACGTCCGTCCATCGTGCGCACATATGTGCGCAAGCAATGATCGTCCAGCTTTTTATCGTTCGCCCATCGTGCACACACCGTTCACACACCGTGCACACATCGTGCGCACACCGCACATCGTGTAACGTTGTGCGATCCCACAACTGTATCATGTTTTAACTTGGTTCCTAAGGTTTTTAGATACATCAAAACAATTTCAAAAATTCTTATATTATTGTGCTGTAATCACTTATCAAAAATTGTTAAAATTGATTGAATGTTTTGATCTTACCTTAGAATATCTTAGAAATAGAAAAACTCAAATATGACTCTAATAATTAAAGAAGACATTTGTCCATATAAATCGTTTGTCTTTAAAATTCTGCTTGTTCAGGAAGGAGATATAAATCCAGGCCAAGTACATACTTGAATGTCCTTGTATTTAATATGTTTTCTCTAATGTTGGACACTTTCAGATGAACTTAGTTATAATATATCAGCCATTGTGCTTCAATCACTTAATGAATGTGAGTAATGAACAAAAACACTAATTTCATATATTAAAATATCCTTTGTCCAGATGTGTATAATTTTGTTGAGACATATCTGATTTTATTTCAGTCAAATTGAAACTAATGAGCGCCAGTGATTTATGAAATTCTAAGTAAAACCTACTTATTATAGTGTTTGTGGTTGAGAAGATACTTAAGCTGGAATATTAATGAACGTTATGACATGAACCTATCAATAGTTTGGTATGGATTCTGTAGAATGGTGTGAGATTAGTTGTCAAATATTGACATTAAATGGCTTAAAAAACAATGAAACTTAAAATTCTTTGATTGTCTTGATCAATCTTATTAATCGGATCTTGGGTAAAGATATTTTTGTCTTGTTTTTCATTCTCGTAGATAATAAATATCTTAAGTTCTTTCATAGAAATATCCCGCTTATTCATCCAGAAACCAGGATATTTTCCCTCACAAATATGCATAAAATTTTAATTAAAAACATGGGGAAAACAAAATGATCATGGAAAAAGTCTTCTGGATCATTTACAGTGAAATGTGTATAATCCAACTTTGTAGAATGAAAAATACCCAATAGCTTTGGTTAGACGGGGCATTAGGAAACATCCGTTTTAATTGGCAGTATTAAGGATCCCCGTATCACTGCCAAAAACTGTAACTATTTTTCCAGCATGACTATGAGAAATAACAAAGATGAGTAAACAAAATGTAATCAACAACAGTGTTCCGAGAGGGAAATATTCAGTGTGCTAGACCAGGAATCGAACACTGGAATTGGGATTGTTATACTATTACTCTAACCAATAGAGCTGCCTGGTCAATGGAAGTGTCCTGGCCCAACTCGGCTACAACACTAGCAAGTTTATTTCGAACACTTCATTAATAAAATATCTTTCAATAAAAACCAAGAATGTGTCTGGCTTTTGTGTTACATAAACAGCAGGTAATTGATATCTTTTCTTTTTTCATTGTTTGTTAGTAATAACTACAGCTTCTTCGAGGTTTCAATTTGAAGTCATCTTATAGACAATTCCTCATTGTGATAGCATATATGGATATATTATGTGACAGTATGTTTGTATTAACCTTTGTTATCGTACACATTTTTACATGTAAAATAGAGAAACCTTGTAGTGAAACTTGTCACATATCCTTAATAGTTATATTCCACATACTATTTATATATCAACCAGGAATGACCTTTTGTATGACCTGCTAAGGTGGAAGTCAATACAAAACTTCAGTTAACAGTTAATAAGAAAGCATGCTTAACAACCGTCATGAAAATTTATACAATTGATTTCACTTTTCTAATTTTTGATTGTGTAAATGCTATTTTGATCAAATCAGACTGAAGATTAATGAGTATATTATGGTGGAAGGAGACAATATTTACACAGGTCAAACACGGTGAGAGGCCTTCAGATTGAGGATGTGTGTAAGTGAATGGTATTATTACACAGATTAAATACAGTATTAGGACTGCAGATTAAGGATGTGTGTAGTTATTGTGAATGGTATAATTGCTGATTAAATACAGTATTAGGACTGCAGATTGAGGATGTGTGTAGTTTTGGGCATAATGGAAGGCATTTGAAGAATGTAAATTGTTTGTGTTTATATGTCTTAACTTATTGAGTATATGATTCTTTGAAAGGAAATTGTTTTAACAACTTTTGTTGATGAGAGAGACTTAATTATGTTTGTAATTTTTCTTCAGTACTAAAGTGGTAAAGGGAGAGGTTTCTTTTCCAACTTTGTTTTATTTTCAACCCACACTTTATCTATATACTCAATAAAATTGATAGATGCATAAATCTTTGTCTTATTTTATATTTGTACAATAACTTTGAGATTATGTTTCAGTGATCATATAAATAACTTGAATGGTACAGTTAAAGAAATGTCTTTTCTGGATAATTACAGAAACGTCTGCCCTGTATATTACCCATATTTCTGGTCTGCAGTAACAGATTTCTGCCCTGTAGAAATTGGTTTTTCTGGGCTGATTTTCAGGACACCTTCTTTCATTGACGATGTCATGTTTCTCCAACTATACAATGCCAAAGCCACACTTGGATTATGCTACCGAAGTTTGGTCCCCTGTACTGAAAAAGAATTGGATAGCAGAAGAAATTGTTGTCCAACAAAATGTCCTACCAAAGCTTGAAAGACCTGCTTTACCCCGATATGAGACAAAATGGCTAAAAACTTCAAAATATTGAATAGAATTGATAAGTTAGAAAAATGATAGTGTTCCAAGTTACACCTCAAATAGCCCTAGGCTAATCAATGTAGTCAACACAGGAGTTAAGGTAGTAGTAATGAAACAAGTAACACCTCAAATAGCCCTAGGCTAGTCAATGTAGTCAACACAGG